CTATATTTCAATTTTGACATTCTAAGTCGTTAGACGAATAAAAAAAATCAAATCAGCTTTTCTAATATCATCACTTTATATGAATTCGCCTCGGTTTTTAACACCTTTTTATTAATATTTCTACTTTCAAAAGTCAGTTTGTGTTTTTAGGCACTATTCTTTGCGGGAGATTAATAAATTTAAAAGGTATCGTAATTTTGCATTGACTATTGCAAATGCGAATGTACAAATTAATGCGGGAGCTATGCGGTTGTCGCCGCTATGTTGTAGTGGTTAGCAGTACGCGCTACCATTCCGCAGGGCCTCAAGCCCGGCTCAACCCAACATAAAAAATAAGAAATAAAAAAGTTTTTTTTTCTGATACCGATCGCCCCTCGCAAGGTATTTAATGGCAAACCGCCGAGTGTATTTCTTCCACGAAAAACGGAGTCAGCGCCATTCTATTATATATTATTATTATGCAGTTCCGATTGCGAAAGCGAATATTCGCAACAATTCTGAAACATATATGTTCATATGTAAGTATGTAGACCATACCACCTTACAAGCAAAAACAAAAAAACAGTTAGCCATACACCCTGAGCTCCAAGTATTTTTCCAAGGCAGTTAAAAAAAACTTTATCTATATATATTAGGGATGTAAATCAAAAAATACATCGATGTTTCTTCTCCATTTGGTGCATCGAAATATAACATCGATTCATATCGATATATCGTATAAAAACATCGATACTTTCGATGCATCGAATGAAAATATCAAGAGTTTCTTTCAATTAAAAATATACAACAAGAAAATGAAACAATCGGAGATTCGATAAATGTTTAAGTATTAACTCGCAGTAAAATATCTTTATTGATTTAAATAGTTACTAGTCCCAGTTTTGGTTGGTCTTGTGAGAAGCTTTCGAAGAAAGTTTTCGGAAGGTACGGAAGTGGCTACCATAAGCATAGTAAAATGATGTAAAGTTTGCCAGCTAGCGATTCTATTTCGGTACACTTATTTGGTAATTTATTATCATAATTTTCTTTTATTTTAAGCCTTTTGAGTGAGAGCTTATGAAGTTTTTTTGAGTCGATTTCCTTCAAACTCAAAAGGTATACTACCAGCATGATAGACAATACACCTACCGAAAAACGCAACCGCTAGATGGCGCGTGAGTCGAGTTATTTATAAAACTCGTAATTATGAACCGATTTCGTTCAAATTCAAAATGTAATCTACTACCTACATGATGAAAAAGCATTTGCAAAAAATGCGCTCGCTAGAAAACGTGCTGGTGGCGCCGGAGTAGAGTTACTTATAAAAGTCGTATTTATTAACCGATTTCGTTCAAATTCGCAACGTCAGCTACCTTAGGGTTGCTAACATTTTCTAAGAAATTTATAGTACTTTTTCAAAAAAATCTGAAAAATATAGTATACTTGAAATATGTATAGTATTTTTTTTTTAAAAAAAAAGGAAAAATGCTCTTTAAGTGTGCATCTTTTTTTTTCTTATGCATTTCCTCTATAAAAAATATATATTTCTTTGAAAGCATCATATGCTTTATCGCTATCAATATTTAAATAAACATAAATGAAAATTTCATTTTTTATTAGTCAGATATTTGCCTTATTTCTCTCATCTCACCATTTTAAAATCTTATTAGAGAAAACTCTTTCTGTGAATGCCGCAGTTGCAGGAATAGAGAGCATAAGCCAAATAATTTTAAGTAAATTTGGTAAATCTTTCTAAGTATTTTTAAAAATATTGCCATTTTTTATCTGTTTTTTTGCATACTATATTTTTTCCAACAGTAAATATATAGTACGCAGAACCAAAAAATAGTTCAATACTATATATTATAGTACGGTTGGCAACCCTAGCTAGCTGTATGATGAAAAATTCGTTTCCTAAAAATGGACCCGCTGGAGTTTAAGTATTTAAAAAATTCGTATTTTTTATAAAATCTGCAAAGCAAGCGGCCTTTGGCTAGTATTACTTATTTTGATTGGGCCAAATTACTTGCAATTTTGTCTGCTGGGTATGTGATACTTCGGCGGTTGGAATAGAAAACGCCGCGGCTTATTTAAAATTACCTAACTCTGAATTATTATGAATTTAAGGGAGCTAAAATTCTTTGAAGAAAAGCCTTCTCTTGCTGTGATGCCAATTTATTGATTACATATATATATATATATATATTTTTATCCATATCATTATTCAAAATTAATAAATTTACAAAGTAATTACAGTTTTACTAAATAGTAATTGGCTTGAGGCTTGTTAATAATTTGGAACCAGTTAGCTTATACATTACAGTGGAGGTTAGTTTATACCAGTAATTCCCAAAGTGGTCCAAGTGGCGTTAAAAAAAATATGGGGATCCGCGAGTTGTAAGTGGGGGTCCACGAAAATATATCTNGAAAATTCGTATTTTTTATAAAATCTGCAAAGCAAGCGGCCTTTGGCTAGTATTACTTATTTTGATTGGGCCAAATTCCTTGCAATTTTGTGTGCTGGGTATGTGATACTTCGGCGGTTGGAATAGAAAACGCCGCGGCTTATTTAAAATTACCTAACTCTGAATTATTATGAATTTAAGGGAGCTAAAATTCTTTGAAGAAAAGCCTTCTCTTGCTGTGATGCCAATTTATTGATTACATATATATATATATATATAT